GTATAGTAGTACCAACACACTTATATGGGTGAGAAGTTTGGATTGTAAATGCAGCAGCGAGGAGGCGGTTGGAGGCAGTGGCAATGTCCTGTCTAAGGGCAATGTGTGGCGTAAATATTATGCAAAAAATTCGGTGTGTGGAAATTAGGTGTGGAGTTAATAAAAGTATTAGTCAGAGGGCTGAAGAGGGGTTGTTGAGGTGGTTTGGTCATTTAGAGAGAATGGATCAAAGTAGAATGACATGGAGAGTGTATGAATCTGTATGGGAAGGAAGGTGGGGTAGGGGTCGTTCTCGAAAAGGTTGGAAGGAAGGGGTAAGGGAGGTTTTGTGGGTAAGGGGCTTGGACTTCCAGCAGACGTGTGTGAGGGTGTTAGATAGGAGTGAATGGAGACGAATGGCATTTGGGACCTGACGAGCTGTTGGAGTGTGAGCAGGGTAATATTTAGTGAAGGGATTCAGGGAAACCAGTTATTTTTATATAGCCGGACTTGAGTCCTGGAAATGGGAAGTACAATGCCTGCACTCTAAAGGAGGGGTTGAGGATATTGGCAGTTTGGAGGGATATGTTTTGTATCTTTATACGTATATGCTTCTAAACTGTTGTATTCTGGGCACCTCTACAAAAACAGTGATTATGTGTGAGTGAGGTGAAAATGTTGAATGATGATGAAAGTATTTTCTTTTTGGGGATTTTCTTTCTTATTTGGGTCACCCTGCCTCGGTGGGAGACAGCCAACTTGTTAAAAAAAAATATATATATACACACATATATATGTATATATATATATATATTTTTTAACAAGTCGACCATCTCCCACCGAGGCAGGGTGACCCAAAAAGAAAGAAAATCCCCAAAAAGAAAATACTTTCATCATCATTCAACTCTTTCACCTCACTCACACATAATCACTGTTTTTGCAGAGGTGCTCAGAACACAACAGCTTAGAAGCATATAGTATGTATAAAGATACACAACATATCCCTCCAAACTGTCAATATCCCGAACCCCTCCTTTAGAGTGCAGGCACTGTATTTCCAATTTCCAAGACTCAAGTCCGGCTATATAAAAATAACTGGTTTCCCTGAATCCCTTCACTAAATATTACCCTGCTCACACTCCAACAGATCGTCAGGTCCCAAATACCATTCCTCTCCATTCACTCCTATCGAACATGCTCACGCATGAGAAAAAGGTGAGTAGTGAACTGAGGTATCTGTGGAGACAAAGAACATTATCCATGGATGCAAAGAGGGGAATACAGTAGATGAGAGTATAATGGTATCAATGCTCTTATATGGGTGTGAAGCATGGGTGGTGAATGTTGCAACATGGAGAAGGCTGGAGGCAGTGGTGATGTCGTGTCTAAGGTCAATATGTGGTGTGAAAATTATGCATAGAATTTGTAGCCTGGAGATTAGGCGGCACAGGGTTAATAACAGTATTATCCCGAGGGCTGAAGTGGGGTTGTTGAGTTGGTTCAAACATTTAGAGAGGATGGAACAAAACAGGATGACTTAGAGGGAATATAAATCTGTAGTGGAGGGAAGGCAGGGTTGGGGTCATCCTAGGAAAGGATGGAGGAAGGGGGTAAAGGAGGTTTTGTGTGTGCCCTGGCTTAGACATCCAGCAAGAGTGTAAGACAGGAATGGAGGAAAGTGGTTTTTATTTCTTAATGTGATATTGGAGTACGAGCAAGGTAACATTTATGAATGGATTCAGGGAAACCAGTTAGCCAGACTTGAGTCCTGGAGGTGGGAAGTACAGTTTATTACCATTAAACTAGGAAACGACGAACTAAGATTACAGCAACATAAATACATATAGCAGAACTGTACAGAAGTCTAATGCTCTGTTTATTCCTGTGAGAGTTTTTAACCACCCAACTGATTTTCAAAAGGCCAAGAAAACTATATTAAGTAGGTACATGGTTGAGCAATAATATAATCAAATCACGTTTCATAAAAAATTGTATAGATTTCAATATGAATCAGAGTTCAAGATTATATAAATTAGATTCATTTATAATGAATATAGTTTGTGAAGAATTTAATTTACAGTAAAAAGCTCTGTTGAACAAGGTACAGTACTCACTTCCATTCTTTTCCTCATCCTCATAACTGACATAGAGAAGTAAGTCAGAATTTGCATAACAGTGTTATCCATTGAAGACAATGCAAATCTCCAAGCATACTCTGCCATTGAAAGCTCAAGGAAATAAAAACTGTATCAGAGTATAAAACAAATTCCAACTACACAATATAGTGAAAAACTAATGTGAAGGACCTGGGAGTGATAATATCAGAGATTCTCACTTTCAAAGATTGCAACATTTTATCAATCGCATCTGCTAGAAAAATGATAGGATGGATAATGAGAACCTTCAAAACTAGAGATGATGAGCCAATGATGATATTCTTCAAATTGCTTGTTCTCTCTAGGGTGGAGAACATACAGAGAACTTTCACTGAGCATTTAAGTTCAATAAAGTGTACCTGGAGAGAGTTCCAGGGATCAACGCCCCCACGGCCCGGTCTGTGACCAGGCCTCATGGTGGATCAGGGCCTGATCAACCAGGTTGTTACTGTTGGCCTGCATGTAATCCAACATATGAGCCACAACCCGGCTGGTCAGATACTGACTTTAGGTGCCTGTCCACTGCCTGCTTGAAGACAGCCAGGGGTCTATTGGTAATCCCCCTGATGTATGCTGGGAGGCAGTTGAACAGTATTGGGCCCCTGACACTTATTGTGTAGTCTCTTATCATGCTAGTGGCACCCCGCTTTTCATTGGGGGGATGTTGCACCTTCTGCCAAGTCTTTTGCTTTTGTAGGGAGTGATTTTTGTGTGCAAATTTGGTACTACTCCCTCTAGGATTTTCCAGGTGTATATAATCATGTGCATATCTCTCCCTCCTGCATTCTTGGGAGTACAGGTTTAGGATCTTCAAGCGTTCCCAGTAATTGAGGTGGTTTATCGCAGTTATGCGTGCCGTGAAGGTTCTCTGTACTTCAGTACTTCAACTGTTGGGAAAGGCTGAGGTCCTTTGATGTGTACTCCTTGGAATGCAGGCAAGAAAGATGCAGCATAACATACACTTGGAAAATCCTAGAGGAACTAGTCCCAAGTCTGCACATGGAAATCACTCCCTACGAAAACAAAAGACTCAGCAGATGGTGCAACATCCCCCCAATGAAAAGCAGGGCTGCCATGAGTACACTAAGAGACAACACAATAGGTGTCAGGGGCCCAAGACTGTTCAACTGCTTTCCAGCATACATAAAGAAGATTACCAACAGACCCTTGGCTTCTCTTCACGAGGGAGCTGGACAGGCACCTTAAGTCAGTATCTGACCAGCTGGGCTGTGCTTCGTACATCAGTTTATGTGTGGCTGGCAGTAACAGCCTGGTTGATCAGGCTCTGATCCACCATGAGGCCTGGTCATAGCTCAGGCTGCAGGGGCACTAACCCCCAGAACACCTCCAGGTATACCTGTAATCTTGACACTAATACACTAATGTCTAACAAAACCTATTCTAATCCAATTCTGTCCCTGTTCTTCTTCCAGCCTTCCTTTACCTTTCATCTGACATGTTACAAGTTTAAGGCAAGAACTATGTTTACCTAACATTATCTATCATGCAATATGGGCTTTCCCTTCATACTCGTCACAAGACGGGCTCACAAAAAAATGAACGACTATGTCTGTAAACGGATAGGCAGGTTATCAGGGTACATTAATTACTACAATATCTGCCAAAATCAAAGAAAAAAATACCAAAAAAATTAAGCCACACTTCTACATGATGAAAGTAAATGTTTATTTAGGCCTGATACATACATGTAATTTTAAACCTTTACAAAGTCAAGGTCAAATTTTATTTGCAAGAATAACAGGGTGTTGATTTAGCTCTGTATATTCTAATGAAAGTCTCTTTTCTTTATGCAAAGCATTTTGAATAGACTAAACCTAGTATTTATGAACTACTTAATATTAGTACAGGTACAGATAAGGATTATAACACTTAATTTTTGAGTAACGCTTCAGCATTAATAAATTCTGTATATAATACTGTACAACTGTGCTGAGGATTACAAGGGAGGAGTAGCAGTTTAATAAGCTAGCAGTATAAGATATAATTGACATTTGACAGTAAATATCTATGATTGTTACACTTTAGAGAGGAAATTTTAGATGACATTTCTTTCTGAACTGGACCATTAAATTCATAGCCCTCCTGAAAACTGGTCCTTTTTGATTATCATAGTACAGTATTATTCAGTGTTATGGCAGAGCTTTGTTATTAATAAGGTAGATAAGCTGTTTTATTTATTGTTAAATTCTATAGGTATTAAAGTTGGATGGTTTAATAAATGGTTTTGGATTTTAAGGTCATAGGATTCAGCCCCAGCTAGAGCAGTGTCATCCTTGGCCAGGACCCTTATCGCACATGCCCCAAACAGCACAGGTGTGAATGGAATTTTACTCATCCACCAAGGTAAACTATACAGCAGCTTAAGTAGCAAGTACTAGTGGCTTCATGTCTTAAGTGAATATGAATTCATCCACAGTGGACTATTGGAGTGCAGGTTTCTCTTGTTCCATGTAAATTCACTGTTTTGTGATGTCCCTTGTCTGTCAGTAATTTTGTATGTGCACTGTACATTCACCATATTTGACTGGTGTGGTTCGCAAAGCATATTCAAGAAAAAATTCTGATGTGGAATTAAGTGTTGATGGTTGGATTGAGTTTAGAACAGCAACCATGATCTTGGAATGCATATATTGCATTAAGTATGGGATATCTGTACATTAAAATGTTAATAGTGAGCCACTATAACTGGCTTTAAACCAAACAAGCTCTACCAAAGTGAAGACAATCTTCTGGATTACCTCTTCATCCCTCACAAGGGACTTTTGCAAGCTCAATCCTATTCTTTATCAGTGTCGTTTCTGCCATAAATATACATGTATTTTTTTTTTTTTTTTTTTTTTACAGAAAGTGACTTCACTGATGTAGAAAAGCCTGTCTTTTGGGATGTTGTAGTTTTGACAACTTTTGATGCAGTACAACAACAGAGTTTTGAGAAACAAATTGATTTTAAGAAACAACAAGGACATTTACCAAAGGTATCCTTTCTTAAGATTTATAAAAAATTATTTAAAATTTAATAGAAATTAATGTTAAGTATTCTTTTCAGTCCAATTTTATGTTCTTAACATACAGTAGCAAGATAGTTTCCAGTTTACATTCAAAATATCTTTGCATTTTACCTAATCAAAACCATCAAACCCTTTTAGTCTTTAGTCTTCCTCTTAACCACAAACATTATGGCACTGTTTGATGTATAAATAGTCAATGGGTGGCTTTTGATAGTGCCTTGAACAACTGATAATGACAAAATTACAGTGGCTACCAATTTTCTATTCATGCAGCAGGCTTTTTATTTTTTTAGCCACTATTACCTTATATTTATAGTTTTCCTTTTGTAATCTAGCCTGAGCCTGACTTAACCTAGAACTCTGCTGTAAACTGTATGTGACAAAGTTCTTAGAAGCATGAGTTGCAGTCTTGCACATAGCAGAGAAAACAATCTCTGTGAACATATGTTCTGTTGCAGTTTAATGTTGGGGTTAAGAGTCATGTAGACATAGAATGCACAGTAGAAAGTGTGAAATGTCTTCATTTATATTTGGATAGAGAATTTTAAGTGTTATAATGTTATAGTGTTATAATGTAAACTATAAAATAATAATAGTAATAATGTATTACAGCATTATTATTATTATTATTATTATTATTATTATTATTATTATTATTATTATTATTCTTGTGTACTGAATGTGTATCTATTTGTAGGTTCCTATTTTAGTGGTGGCTGACCCACCTGATCAGAAGCTTGGGGTTGGTGGTTCTACTCTCCATGTGCTTGATGAGTTACATAAACAATTCGGAGATGCACTTGATCAGAAGAAAACACTCATTATCCATTCTGGTATGATCATATAATGTCAAAGTTAAAAATATTTTTTTATGATATTCAGCTGTATAAATTACTAAATTAAAAAAGAAAAATTTTCGTTTCTCTTTTTTGGTCACCCTGCCTCAGTGGGATATGGCCAGTTCGTTAAAAAAAAAATCTCCATGACATACTTTCATACCTCATAAACTGTAGATCTATTTAAAGTTGCTCTGTGTATTTATAGGTGCATTTTCCAAGTGATTACATACCTCTTAATTTTTCCCTACTCATGTCTTACACTATTCATCAACTATTCATGTCCTATGCTCTTTATCAAGTTGTGGTCATCTCTTGTCTTTATATGTTCATATCACATTAGTACTTCTTCAGTTTTTTTCTTCATTGAATTACACTTACACTGAGCATTCTTCTTGCTCTCCAGTCAGCACTCAGAAAATTACATTTTTACTATTTGCACTCTCACTGTTAGTTTAATATGACACATCTGTATATTTGTGCAGGTTGACATGTGCACTGCTAAAATATGTTTCCCACTCTGTCTCTCAATGCTGAAATTTCAGTATTCACTCCAATTCCTATCAAAATTATTCTCTTGATACACCATATAAATATACTGTCTCCAACTCCTCTTCATTCACCTACATCTTACCATCTCCATATATAAAATAAGTTTACAATATCTTATAGTTTTTCTAAGTCACTCACAAACACTGCTGCCAGCAAATATTTGCTATAATGTTAAAAAATCATGTATGCATTATTTAAACAATGTTTATTATTACATGTACAGTGGTCCCTTGAGTTACGATGGGCTTGAGTTATGATAATTTTGAGATACAATTTACCCTCATAAAGAAATTTTGTTTTGAGTTGTGATGAAAGATTTGAGATGCAGTATGTACAAAATGGTTAGCACATGTGGGTGGGCAGACCTCAACAAACCAGCAATGCAATAAATTGCCTCCTCAGCAACATCTGAGTCAACAGGAGCATCATTAGGTGTGTGTGGGGGTGACATAGCAACCAGTCAGTGACAGGAATGAATGTCTTTATGGCAGCATCTCTGCCAATAGCAGCATTCATTCTACAGTTTATTGTTTCCTCCTCAATTTAAAGCTACCATGTGTGATGCCCATACTAACTTTGAATTATTTACCCTTCATAACTGCATTTGTGATTAATTAAACTATCTTTTCTATTACTAAGTCATCATGGCCCCTAAGTGTGTAGTAAACAGGCAGTTTCTCAGAAGGATGAGAAATTGTGAAGAAACATGATGAAGGAGTTAGAATTAGTGAATTTCATGCATGAGATGGTACAGTAAGACACAGGTAAATTTGCACTTCTGCAGTCCTGGAATGAATTACTGTAAAACCATGTATGTACTATGTTGAGGTTTGAGATACGATATACTATTTTCTGGAATTGATTAATACTTTAGCTCAAGGGACTACTCTGTAAGTTAACAGGAGCAGTACTGAATATGAAATATTCGGTAAAAATTCTTAGTAAAAAGTGTAACAAAATTATATATGGAATACAGTGGACCCTTGACCAACGATGGCATCGTCTAATGTTAAATCCGACTAGCGATACATTTTAACGCAAAAATTTTGCCTCGACTAGCGCCAAAAAACTCGACCAACATAATTTGTTCCGTTCGAGACTCGTCCACTTGTGGCCAGTGTTTACAAGCCAGCCAGCCACCACGGTCCCATCCAAACATACAATTGGAACATTTCATATTATCACAGCGTTTTTAGTGATTGCACCTGCAAAATAAGTCACCATGGGCCCCAAGAAAGCTTCTAGTGCCAATCCTACAGCAAAAAGGGTGAGAATTACTATGGATATGAAGAAAGAGATCATTGCTAAGTATGAAAGTGGAGTGCGTGTCTCCGAGCTGGCCAGGTTGTACACAAAACCCCAATCAACCATCGCTACTATTGTGGCCAAGAAAAGGGCAATCAAGGAAGCTGTTCTTGCCAAAGGTGCAACTATGTTTTCAAAACTGAGATCGCAAGTGATAGCAGATGTTCAGAGACTGTTATTGGTGTGGATAAACGAAAAACAGATAGCAGGAGATAGCATCTCTCAAGCGATCATATGTGAAAAGGCTAGGAAGTTGCATGACGATTTAATTAGAAAAGTGCCTGCAACTATTGGTGATGTGAGTGAATTTAAGGCCAGCAAAGGTTGGTTTGAGAAATTTAAGAATCATAGTGGCATACATAGTGTGATAAGGCATGGTGAGGCTGTCAGTTCGGACCAAAAAGCAGCTGAAAAATATGTGCAGGAATTCAAGGAGTACATAGACAGTGAAGAATTGAAACCTGGACAAGTGTTTAATTGTGACACTGACAATGATGTGAAACACTTTGGGAATGTCATAAAGGAATGGGAGGTACAGGCCTCTATGGACAGATATGTTGTGCAACAGAGGTCCAGTGACTCTCAAGCTGGTCCTAGTGGCATTAAAAGAAGAAGGGAAGTAACCCCAGAAAAGGACTTCACACCTCAAGTCCTAATGGAAGGGGATTCCCCTTCTAAACACTAACACTATCCACTCTCCCCTCCTCTCATCCCATCAATCATCACCCGATCTTCAATAAAGGTAAGTGTCATGTAATTGTACATGACTTCTTCAGTTTGTATTAAAATTAATATTTCATGTGGTAAAATTTTTTTTTTCAGTACTTTTGGGTGTCTTGCACGGATTAATTTGATTTCCATTATTTCTTATGGAGAAAATTAACTTGACTAACAATAATTTCGATTAACGATGAGCTCTCTGGAACAGATTAATATCGTTGGTCGAGGGTCCACTGTATTATGGCTTGGGAATGCACCTCCAATAATTTATTTATTTATTTATTTATTTTATGTCTTTGCAAACAGTACAGTAGGGCCCCACTTACACGGCGGGTTAAGTTCTAGGCTATCGCCAGAAAGCAGACATCACTGGGAAGCAGAACGCCATTTTTTCCATTTATAAATGCCAGACAACAAGTTTACACTAATTTATATTAAGTTAGTAATAGAACTAGGCATTAAAAACACAAAAAGTCAAATGCATACACAGTACATTCATTACTTATCTTAGAGTATTTGTAATCTTAATGTAGGGAAAGAGGTGAGTAGTACTTATTTGTAGGAAGTCAGGGCTACCTACACTGTAGCCCAGAGCCACATTATTAACATAGACATACCTTGTTCACTGAATTTAATCGTTTCTAACAACTACCTTTAGATGCCATCATAAACGAAGGGAGAAGAAATGAATAATTCGTGCCGAAAATTGTAAACAAAAGCGGAGTGGGGGAGTGGCTGGGTCAAACGCAGATTCATACACGTTTCCTCTGGTGGCTGAGCAGAGAAAACGTAATGTTGTCCCTCCGCCCAGCTACCACGCAGGTCCATGAGTATTATTATCAGAGCACATATGAAATATGCAATAAATGCCAGACAGCGTTACACTAACTTATATTAAGTTAGCAATAGAAATAGGCATTAAAAACACAATAAAAGGTAAGGTACATACAGAGTACACTTATTACTTGCCTTAAAATATTAATATTAATGTGTGAGAGGTAAGTGGAGTTTACCTGGATAAAATAAATAAAATCAGAATGGCACACCGTCATCCTCTAACTTGGCACTTAAAGCAAGAGGCTTACAACTCCTCTTTTTATCACAACTAAGCTTAGATGCCATCGTCAATGTGAGCCAACTAGTTAACAAGAGTAAACGAGAAAGAACGAGATACAGAGTTCAGACAATGTAAGAACAAAAACTGAACAGGTAGTGGGCAATCACTTTGTCAGGGGAAATAAATGCGTATTAATGTGTGTCTACTTTTAGTTCATTCACGTATGTTTGTAAGAGTTTGTAAAACTTTTACCTCACAATATTTTTTTATTATAATAATAATTACCTCACAATACAAATACTCTTACATTGTGTACAAGTTAGTACAGAATAAACAAACAGCAATATGTACTCTCATTCTCATGCATCACACCATTTTTAAGAGTGAAGTAAGATATTATTATTATCATAATAAAAAAGCGCTAAACCCACAAGGGTCGTGAATTGCTAAATATAGAGTGAAGGCATACGAAAGAAATATTTTTCTACAGTTATCCTCCAGTATTTGACTAGAGAAAACGTAATTCTTTCGACACTACCTACACAGCTGCTTTGTAAACAAATCTCATATTTAGGTCAATTTTTATTCTGTGAGTGCATGTATCATGTTGATATGCTATGTAAAGTGTTTCTTACATAATTTTGAGGAAAATATCATAGCTGGATTAATGAAAATGTCTATATCAATGTAAAATAAGACATTTAATGTGCCCAAGAGTGATTATTATTATGTAGTATTGGTGTCATGAGTAGAGAGACTCTTAGCGATTTTAATGTGTACCTGCACACCAGCACAGTGTGTAAGTATATTTAGGTACAGGTACACAGAATTATAATTATCAGAGTACATATAAAATACACAATAACTTTAAAACACTTAATATTTTGGAAAGTTTCCAGACATAATAGATGTGGTCATGAAGAATGTAAACAAACTGGGTGGGGCGCGCCGTATTTAAAAGACCGCTTGCCGTATAGCAAATTTTGGTCATAATTTGACATCGCCATATTAGCGGAACACCGTAAGGCGATATGCCGTAAAGCAGGGCCCTACTGTACATTGAGATTTTGTGTTTACAATAGTGGGTTGCAATGCAAAGAGAGCCTCTATTATGCCTAGGCATTATGGGCCAACTTAACATTATTGGCTGACAGACTACTTAACACTAAGGAGTATATCACAGTTGTACAGTAGATTATTAATTATAAGCGAGTCTAATTTCTATAAAACAAAAGATTATTTTTTTTTATTAGGACACTGGCTGATTCCCACCAAGGCAGGGTGGCCCGAAAAAGGAAAACTTTCACCATCATTCACTCCATCACTGTCTTGCCAGAAGGGTGCTTTACACTACAGTTTTTAA